CCTCAGCCAGAAAACGAAGGGTGCGTGCGCGCTCCCGCTCTCAGCATTGGCAGCGTGCGCCTGTCTTGTTTTTCTCGCTCAGCCTTTTCTGAATTCAGGGCCCTCTGGAGCGGCGGCCAGGCTCCCAAAATTCCCAGAGAGTACGGCCAGTGCTGGAATTATGGGAGTTGAAGTCTTTATATTTGGAGGGCGCCCAAGTGGAAGGCGGCTATATTTGCAGTTTCTTTGGGGTTATTTGTGGGATTCTACCAGCGTAAAATAAACATTCAGATATGATTCTAATTAACTAAAACGTTGCTTGGTTCCACAGACTTGTTGACGGACGTGTTCACCCGGAACACTCCACAGCGAAGTAGCCAACTGCATTTTGGCCTTCTGCAAATCTACCTGTTAGGATTAATTTGATTCTATGCATTATGCAAATCCATAAAACTGGGTTAATGGAGTAAACTATGGTTCCAGGAAGGCTGATTTATATCCTATTTTTTTCCACTTAATCAGAAATATTAAAATGTCTACTACTATGTACTGGACTTGAAACTCTTGCCTTTTCAAGTCTAGTATATCATTCAGCCTTTCAAGAAGACTACATTAAAAATACAAATTTACTAAAGAAAGAAAGATAAAATACTTGCTACACTTTATATATATGGCAGCACACTGAAGCCAATATATATGTGTATTTGGCAGCAAATTCCAAGATAATTTAAAGGGATTGTGGCTAAGAATCTATTCATAGGCTTCAGTACAAATTAAAGGTGGCATGAGATGTACATAAAACATCTGGGTCAATTTAAAAATACTATGTAATATGCAACAGGAAATTAAAATAACAATTTAAAAAATACAGAATTTGCTACTTTAATAAACTATTGTTTTCCTCCCCAGAAGTTTGTTTGGTGTCTTTTCTATCTCAGTTTAGGAAACTCTTTATAACAGTCCATCTGGTTTATTCTGAAGAACAGTTTGCACAGTATTTTTTACTGTAGATGCTTATTTCCCCAGCTTGAATTTTGGAATTTTTCTTATAGCTGGCACAGTTATCTTTATTTTTTATACACCTTGCAGCATATTGAATTCAGCTATTCAATAGTAGGATCTTACACTTGAGGAACAGGATACTTGCCTGCTATTTTGTTCCTTTAGCATTAAAAATTAAGATTGCCATAATAAGTAGTTTGGAAATTTTGTTATGGCTTAAGTTGCTGCCCCTGGATTTTGTCTTCATTTTGAACTTCTGCTGCCTTCTGCTGACATGTGGTGCAGGTTTCATAAAACCTTGAGTTTTAATTTCAATAACTTCTAAAGAAAACGAAGGTGGACACCACTGGAGTTTTCACTCCAGCGAGAGATGGAATACATATAATTTGCATTGCTGGTTTAATGACCACAAGGGGGAAGCATTGGTTATATTACACAGCCACTACATTAATCCAAAAACAAGGTCCTTCCCTAATACGTATTATTAAAGTCAGACAGGTAATATTCAAGTATGTAAGAGAAATGTGAAAAAAATCTCATAACAACAAACATTGGAAAGGTGACTTGCCTATTAAAAAAAAACTCAAACAACTACTACCTTAAAGAATGGAAACCATTGATGGACTATTTGCAAAATGCAGGTGGGGTGAAGCTTACATGGGGATTTGAAGATTAGATTATAAATGTAATGGG